GTAATGATGATGAAGATGATGAGGATGATGGTGATGATGACAATAATAATAATAATAATAGTAACTAGAAAGCATCACATAATATCTACTATATGCCAGGCACTTTGCGAAGTGTGCTAAGTCCCACAACAACTCTGGCAGGTAGGTGCTATTACTATCCTCATTCTACAATTGAGGAAACTGAGGCAAATGGATTTGAAGTGACTTGCCCAGAGTTACACTGCTAGTGAGTGTTTGAGGCTGGATCCTGACTCCAGGCTCAGCACTCGATTCACTGCACCACTGCCCAACAAGACCTCACAAACAGACACACAACATGCAAATATGAACACACAGATATAAAATAAAAATTATGTTTGATAGTTGGCTAAGAGTAGTAAAAACCTAGTATTCTCTACAAGGCTCAAGGGGAAAACTAGTATAGTCTTAAGCTAGTATAGACATCTTTTATTATTATTTCTACCACAAGACATTGAATCAATGGGTGTTAATTAAAATAATGCTAGACTGGAGTCAGAGGACCCGGATTTGAATCCTACTTCTGGCCCTTCTATTTGTGCCATGGGTCAAGCATTTAAGCTCTATGAGACATAGGCAATTCCAAGGCTAATTTCTTTTGTGGGGATGGGGGGGAGGAGAAGGGAGCATAGAGATGTAATTTCATCTTTATGGGAAACTTCAACTTCCTGTCTTAGTTCACCTAGGACACTGAGAGATTAAGACCTGGTATATGTCAAAAATAGGACTTGAACCACTTTTCAAGTAAGTTAAATGTTTGCTGACTAAGGTGCCTTCTAGGTTCTTTTGTTCCTCTTGTTGCAATTAATTTACATTGGTTTAACTTCTGGGCAAAATGTTTATAATCAGTGTCAATGTCATTTCTGTTGTCCGTTTCCCATTTTTGATGCACAATACCTTCTTTAAATAATTCAAGGGTAGATCTTCTTAATTTTGCCATATCTTTTTCTCATTGCTATTCTGTTTTCTTGGTTTTTTTTTATATAAAATCTGATCTTAATTCTGTTGAGTCAGTGATCTTACCACAGAACCAAATGAATTGTGTACTGTGATATTAAGACTACTGTAGCTATACTGTTAAAATGTAGTCAGTTTCATTCATTGTGATGCTACTTAGTCTTCAGCATTTCCAGTGAATTCCAATGCTTTTGGGGTGGGGGAAGAAATATTCATAAGGACTTAAGAATCTGCTATAATCTATCTTTAGCCTCATTTCTTTCTTCAGAACCATCTTCCATGTGTATTTCTTCCCATCCTCCCCTTTTCCCACCTTTACAAGGTCACCAAATATCAGAGTATATGTTGATGTGATGTGGAGGGTTTTATCCAGTTCTTCATGGAATTTCTCTAGCATTTCAATCTCAATAGTTGTTGTGTAAGCTGAAATTATTTTCATGGTAGTCTTTTTGCAAATACCTATCCTCAGTACTACAACGTGCAACCATGTTTACCATGAAATAGTATTTTTTGTAGCTTTGGGATTCACAATAAAACCCACTTTGCCAATTACTTTTTAGCTACAATTTCCTTCTTTCTTCTGGTTTCACTTCACTCCTGGTTTCATCTGATTTTCACAAGAAGGTTAAGACTGATAAGGTTCAGCTCCTTCAGCAATGTGTCTACTTACTGTTCATCGGACTAGGATCTCATATTTAGAGTATCAACATAAAATAAAAAATTTTGACAATCTAATAACTACGTAATTCCTAACACTCTCTGTCCATCATCACTATAGAATCAGAATGGGGCTGCACAAAACTGAGAGCTGATTTTTTAAAAAAATTTCTGTTTTGTGGGTTGCTATGGCTAAAAAATGTTTCATCACCAGGCACCTCACCTCCTGGTGATGTGTCTCTCTGTGATTAGTTAAACTGTACATGGAGAACAGACTTAATCTGTTCTCAGGGTCATACTTGAAGTCTTTCCAGCATGGTAAAACTTGCCAGGGCTTGTCCTCTTTCAAGAACCCAGGGTCACAAGGAGGCATCAAAGTAGGATTTCTGAGGAGGATTAGATTATAATCATTTGTAATGCCATGCCTGGCATTATGAATGATGGGGCTGCAGTAACTCAGCTGTGTCATATTAGGATTAGAGGCTTAGGGCATTGAGAGCTGAAAAGGAAGTAGAGATTTTCTAGTCCAATGCCCTTATTTTACAGATGTGGAAATAGAGGCACAGAGAGAGGTGAACATGATTCCATAGAATCTTAAATCTAGAAGAGACCTCAGAGAACATCTAGTCCAGGGGTTCTTAAGCTTTCTGAGCAGCATAGACCCCTTTGGCAGCCCAGTGAAGCCTGGAGAACCCTTCTCAGAATATTGTTTTTTTTTAAATTTCATAACTGAAGGAAATGATAAATTTCAGTTAGAGGTTAATGAAAAGAAAGATGTACTTTTCCTCTTATGTTCACTAACTCCCTGAAATCTATTTATAGACCCCTAGAGCACCCACAGAGCCCAGGTTCAGAACTCCTGAACTAGGGCAACCCATATCTGAACAGGAATCTCCTCTAGAATATATTAGACACAAATGATGGTCTCGCCATTGCTTAAACACCACTAGAATGATGGTCTGGCCATTGTTTGATGGCCCCCACTGAGAGGGACCCCCATTACTGTGCAGCCAGAATTTACTGCGTTCCAAAGCAGTCCATTGCCGTTTTGACCAGGTCTAACTGTTGAGCTGCAAAAGAATTCTCCAAGACAGAGATGAGGAGGGACTAAATTCCAAGTATGGTGATAGTGTGCTAGGACATTTGATCCTTACCAACAAGGCTAAGGTTACTTATTTTTAACTACCACAGATTGCTGCTGGCTATGCCCTGAAGAGCCAAGCAGACCAAGCCAATGCCTCTTCCTTACTGAAGACCACACAAAGCCTTTCTTTGTGGGTAAGACATTTAGCTTCTGGGTCTCTCAGTTTCCCCAACTGTAAGATGATGGGGTGGAATTAGATGACCTCTGAAGTCCCTTTTGGCTTTAGTTCTAGGAACCTATTGCTCCTTATACTATAGAGAAACATTTATTGAACTCCTACTACGTGCAAAAAATGGTGTTAGGCTGGTGTGGGGTGGTAGGCAGACAAAGTTTGGATCTGGCCCTTGCCCTCACTGAGTTTCCAGAATTAGAATGTCTTTCCATGGGCTATTGCCATGCCTGAAATTCACTCCCTCCTCATCTCTCTGCCTTGGAGAATGCTTTTTCAGCCCTAGCATTGCCTCCTACATAGAAGCCTTTCCTGGTCCTCCCGACTCCTAGTGACCTCTCTCCCTATCTTTGAGTCTAAATCCAGCCTCAGATACTTGCTGTGATATGACCCTGGGCAAGTCTTATCACCTCCATCTGCCTCCGTTTCCTCATCGGTAAAATGAGGGTAATAATGGCACCTAACTTCCAGGATAATTGTGAGGATCCAACCATTTAACATACATGACGAGCTTTGCAACCCTTAAAGCACAATATAAATGCTAGTTATCGTTATTATTATTCAACTTAGGAGGTATTAATTCCATATATACTTGTGTAAGTAATATCTCCTCCAATAGAATGTAAGCTCCTTCAGAGTAGAAATTATTTTATTTTTTAAAATTTGTATCCTCAGCACCTAGCACAGTGTAGCACAAGATGGGTTCTTAATAAATGCTTGCTTATCCTCCGTTTTCCAAGAGGGCCAATGATATCACAGTGTGGATTGGATTTAAGTGAGGCAGAGTTGCCCAAAGTCATCAGCCTCACTTTCTCTCCTAGAGTCATCAAAGTCCAGCGGCAGGACAAAAGTCAAGACGACTGGCAATGGTCCAGAATGCAGTGGATGGCCTTAGCTTCTTTGGTGCCTGACCAAGCTCTAAGTACTCCAGTGTGCCTGTTTCAGCTGCCTTAGTGGCCATTGGAACAAACTGTTCTCATTTGCCCATTCCACCAGAGGTCTTCACTAGCTTGGGGGAAATCTTCACATCCCCCTAACTCACGGACAGGATTAGGGCCCATGGGTTACCCTCAACCTGGTTTAGCCCATCTGCTGAGAAGGTTTTGCCAGGGTGCGACCACTGTGCATGCTACAGCTTCTTGGAGCCCAAGGGAAAGAATTGGGTCAAAGGTGATCACCAAAGGTGTGTGCAGGGTGTTCAGGGAGGATTAGCATGTCTGGTGTGAGGGCTTGCCAAGCCCTTCTCAGGGCTGTTCATCCAATTCTGTAGATGTTAGTGTCCGAATGTTTATTTATTGACTGATTAATTGACCCAAGGACTGGTGGGTCTTGTGAATGGAAGAAGGTCTCTTAAGTCTTTGCGGAGAGGGAGTCGGACAAGACATAGTGGGGGGGAAGGAGTGATGGGAGGGAAAGAACATAGATGTTTGTTAACTTTAAAAATTTTTTGAAAAAGCTAAATTTTTAAGATTGGATTTGAATTAAAGTGACTTGGCTGTACCACTTACTAGCTGTGTGACCTTGGACAAACCATCTCTGCTGCATTTTGTAGGAATGTGGGCATTGGACCAGACTAGAGCGTCTCTTAAGGGCCCTCGGGCTCTAACCTGGTTCTCTGATTGTCAGCCGTTTGGCACAGCTGGCTCCATCCCCTCGGCCTTGCTTTCTCCTAGACCAGACACGCTACAGGAGCAAGGCTGGAAAAGGAACGTGAGTGTTCGGAGGGTACAGGGCCAAAGGCTGCACCAGGAGGTCTGTGCATCCTCAGTTACTCCAGGGCACGAGAAGGTTGCATGCGGGCCCCAGCTGGAGCCAGTAGAAGGTCAAGGACAGAGAAGGGGGGGCTAGGCCCTTTCGGTCCAGGGAGCGTTCCAAACAAGGCCAGTTGCCCTTGGACACGGAACGCACAACACTGGTGGACGCTCTGCGCTCCTCGCAAGCCGGGCCCAGCCCCCGCTGCGTGTTCTCGCCCCGCGAGCCCCAGCTCCTGCGCACCCACCCAGCCCGCGCTCCTCCAGAGCCAGCCCCGCAGTGCCAGTGAAGCCCCGCCGGACCATGGCCAACTCCGGCTCTGACGCGGGCTCGTTGGTGCCCTCTGACACCAGCCGGAGTCCCGCGGGCGGCAGCAGCAGCAGCAGCAGCAGCAGCAGCTTCTATGTCAGCAGCCGAGGCAGCCAAGCAGCCCATGACACCAGTCAGACGCCCGAGGAATCTCACACACAGAGAAGTACCCGCGTCTCCACCCCTGGGGCGCAGGGCTCCTGGGGCTCTCTCGCCAGCCATGCACCGTCTTGTCCCCGCCACCCTCCCCTTCTCCCTTTATACTTCTGAGTCCAGAGGCGCTCAGTGTGGAAAGAGCAGCTAATCCTTCTTCTGTCGCTGGCCTGTGACTGAGCAAACCTTCACCCCTCTCTGGGCCTGGTTCCTCTCATTAAAATAAGGGATTGGAGTTAGGCAATCTCTAAATTTGCCCTTTCGGTTCAGGACGCTATTACTGTTTTTGTTTAGTTTTACACCTAGCTGTGCAGCTACCTCCCGTGAGGGAACTCCCTCTATCAATGCAGATCTGTAAATATTCTATGAGGTGGAGAGACTTAGAGCTGTCCTGGGGCACTTAGTTGCCCAGAGTCACACAGCCAGCATGGGTCAAAGGTGAACCCAAGTCGTCCCAACTCTAACCACTACAAACCTGTTGTCTCTTCCTATTATTTATAGTTCTAGTTCATCTTTGGGGAAACACTTACCACCTAGAGGAAGCGGAGAAGGACCCCATGATACAGTGCTCTGGTTCTGAAATTGCTGGGCCAATTACTATCTATGTAATGGGGGCAAATGACTTCACTTCTCTGGCGTCGTTTTCACTGTGCATGAGATTTCAACTTAGAGTTCAACTAGATGAACTCTAAGATTCTTTCTAGTTCCAAATCTCTCATCCTATGAAACTGTTCAAAAGAAGCCTTCCACTCAGTTGAAGGATGGGGAGAGTTTGAGGGAGAAGGGAGGCATGGGGGGGAGGGGAATATCTTATTTTGAATATTTGTCATCTTTCTAAAGAAATTAGGAAGACTCATCTTCCTGAGTTCCAGTCTGACCTCAGACGCTTACTAGCTACGTGACCCTGGACAAGTCACTTGAAAACCTGTTTGCCTCAGTTTTCTCATCAGTAAAATAGGCTGGAGAAGGAAATGGCAAACCAATGCAGTATCTTTGCCAAGAAAACCCCAAAAGGGATCAAGAAGAGTCAGAGACAATTGAAATGAGTGAACAACAATCTTTCCAAAATCAATAGAGGGGTTAGCATTACAATTCAAATTTTTTTCCAATCATTAACCTCTCTGAACCTCAGCTACTTCAGCAGTAAAATGGGGACAATAATCCTTGCTCTGCCATCCCAACGGAGTTTTTGGGGAGGTCAGAAAAGACAATGTATATGAAAGTTTTTGTAAACCATAAAGGGTCTGTCAAACAATAATTTACATTTTCTAGAGCAGGGCTCTTGTGTTCCATGGATCCCTTTGGCAGTCTGATGAAGCCCCTTCTCAAAATTATCTTTTTAAAAGCATAAAATAAAATATACAGGGATTTTAAAGGAAACCAAAAGTTAGTCAAAGTAAGGATGTAACTTTTTCCATACAAGTTCATATACCCCTAGAAATGTGCCCACTGCCCATAGACTCCATGTTAAGAACCCCTGATGGGGTGATTTAAGGTTTGCTGAGCATTTTACGTATATTATCACATTTAGTCTTCACAACAATCCTGTAAGGTATGTACTATTCCCATTTTATAGGTGAGGAAACTGAGGCCCAGAGAGATTAAGTGACTTCCCTAATGTCATTCAGATGGTAAGAAGCTGATAGGAGGCAGGATTCAAACACTATCTCTGCTAACAAATTCCAGTAGGTTTTCTCTGTCTATATGCCACATTGCCTCTCTCCAGTAACTCACTACACAAATATAAGGTAGCATATTTTTATTACCCTTGCTTTCAGTTTGGCTCATGCACAAATCCCCCACCCCCTCCAAAAAGTGCATTTTCGTGATTCAGAAAAGAATGACCTCATGAAGATGCTCTGCTAACCAAAGGTGTTGTAGCCAAACACTTTTTTGTTTTTTAACAAAATCATGCTTGTACTTAGCCTAGGACCCAGCCTTCTTATTCTCTAACTCTAGTCCTAGTCATGAGTGGTTGTCCTTGCACCTGTCCAACAAAGGTAGATGATGCTTCTTCAAAGGGGAGGGGGAGGGCCCCCTCCAGAATTTAAGGTAAATTTCATTCCACAGATGGTGGTATTCCCAGGGCACTTGGTACATTTAGGAGAGAATCGTCACCTTCCTTCCAGGATTCAGTTGGGTAAGAAAACAAACAACATAAGTGCTCATTTCCTCTTTGGCTGGATAGTAAAATGCAGGGTGTTGGTAAGTACAGTAAGACAAGCTGTCATTTTAAAAATTCATTTGGCAAATTATTTACAGAACATTGACAATGTAGGAATCACTATGAGGAAGGAATCCAAAGAATAAGCTATATTCTTGCCCCTCCAATAGCTTATAGTCTAGGTGGGGTAGAGAAGACAAATATGTACATGATTATAATACACAGAAGCGCATCTAAATGTCACCTAAGCAGTTTAGGCAGTAAGAGTCATAGCAATTTAAAGGAAACAGGTTACTTCTGGCAGGTGGTCATCTGTGAATCAAGATGCTAAGATGTTTGAGGGGATATCCACATGTCTAATGAAGCCTTAGAGATGGGGAAAAGAGAAAGACTGAGTCAGGCACTGAACTTGAAAGAGGAGGACAAGAGGCTGATGCATTATAGCAACAACTGGGTGATACAGAGCAGTGATTCTCAATCTTTGGGGTCTCAGGACCCACTTACACTTTAAAAAATTATTAGAGACCTCCGCAGAGAGCTTTTGTTTATGTGGGTTAGATCTGTTGATGTTTATCACATTAGAAATTAGAATATTTAAGTATTATTATGAAAATAGTTTTGACCTATTGGACCCCCCCACCCAAAAAACAAACATTCCCAAGGGTCACTGAACCACGCTTTGAGAACTGCTACTATAGAGGGATGCTCTGAACCTCAAAGATGAGGAAGTTGCAGGGTGCTGGCAGCAGAAGGAAGGTGTAATTGTGGCATTGGGAAGCAAGTTGTATGTCCACTCGTTCTCCTAGCCTGGTGTGTCAGTATGGATAGCAAGAAGGGACAATCTTCAAGGGAAGATGGTGACTAGAAATTCTGTATCTTCTGGGGAGAACGAGGATTCCTTGAGATCCAGAAAATGGAAGGTACAGGAGAGGAAAAGATTCAGGATAAATAATGTGGGAATTTCAGAGGGCATAGGGAAAAGGAAGGGCAGAGAAGGATCTGCCCTGGGGAAGGGGAAGGTTAAGACGGTTAGCAATGATCGAGGGGAGAGAAGGAGCAGGGGAAAGACATTTTCAATTCAGTAGATGTCATCTTGGAAGAACCTCACTGTCTAAGATTCTGTTACAACCAAGGGTAGGATATCGAGGGGAGGGAGTTGCCTCCCCCCAGCTTCTCTGTCCACACATCTGGGAGCTAATGATGGAGAAAGTAGAGAAGATGAAAACAAGCTGTGGGTCAGCACATGCCTAGCCATCAGGTCTCCAGGGCCAGTCTGAACTCACATTTGGCACCAGCTCCTTAGCCCAAAGTGACAAAAGATGAAGTAGTTGGCCTCAAGGTACCTGGTGGTTCTGTGAACCAATGGCCTCCCCTTAACATCCATTTGACCTCTAATGTGCTAGCCCAAACCATGGTTCCGTGGTATGTGCTTCTCATTTTTCTCTTCAATGTTATTGCTATCTGAGGGTCTTCCCCTCCCAGATAGATCCTTTTGGGAAGGCAAGCTAGGCTATCTTTTGCCTCAATTCTTATCTCGTCCTTAACTACTGAATGGGCAGTGCCTCAGGCAATCTGAGATCTGGGAAAGACCTTAGCTTAAAAAAGTCAAGGTCTTCCACTACATCCTGAGCCATCGCCAGTTGTCCTGACCTGGATCTTGCCATTGGACTCCGATGACTCTGGAGGAGAGAGTGAGGCTGATGACTTTGCACAGCTCTGCCTCACTTAAGTCTGATTCACGTGCAAGTCAAGACATCACCCTCCTGATGTCACTGGTCCTCTTCGAGAAGGAAAGACCAAGAACAATGACAACAATTGTAGCTGGTTCTAACTGGGAAGCAAGCATACCTGGAATGAGACATCTGGAAGCCTTAGGCAAGTCACAATACCCTGAAGAGTTTGAGTCCTCGCTATGACATCGTACCTCACCACCACCACACACTTTTTCAATTACAAAATAAATACCTTTGTGCCATGGACAACAGAATTCTCTGACGTCAAAATATGCATATTCATAAAAAATAATGTTTACCTTGTATCTCACTGCATGTTCAACACAATTCAATCTGACAAATTTTTATTAAGCATTTGCTAAGTACGAGGCATTTTGCATCATAAGCACCTGCCTGTCTTGTGTAGTTCTAGTTGTGGCTCTGGAGGTGAAGTGATCTATGAAGTGACCTGTGTCCCCTTTGGACAAGGAGTCTTACCATAGTCATTCTCCACTTGTATGTGTCCTTCTGGACAAAGTAATCTCCTGGGGGGGGGGGGGGGAGTGGAATCTTTTGCAACACATGATAGAGAAAGGATAGAAAGTGGTAGAAGGGAGCAGCTAGGTGGTGCAGTGCATGGAGCACTGGCCCTGGAGTCAAGAGGTCCTGAATTCAAATCTGGTCTCAGTTACTTGACATGTACTAGCTGTGTGACCCTGGGCAAGTCACTTAACCTACATTGCCTTGACCAAAAAAAAAAAAGTGGTAGAAGGCAGAAAGACCAGAAAGGTAGTCGAAGAAATAAAACTCAAGAGACATTCCTGAAAAGGAAAATATTGATTTGAAATCCAAATGCAGAAGTGAAGCTAGACATTCATAAATTATAAGGATGTGGTCATTTGTGAAGAGGAAGCTACGAGAGGTGGAAAGAACCAATGTGATCAATGGATGCTCATTTTCAGGAAGAGATTGTGAATCAATCTCTGGTGAATTCGACCACCAAATCATTTAAGAACCATACAGAAAAAAAGAAGGTTTTTTTTTTTCATTTTTACAACTTGCTGGTTAACAACAGAATAAAAATTGTTGGTTTGAACAAAACAATCAAATTTGATGCTAAATTTTTAAATTGACCTCTATAGTGAATTCCAGATTTCTAATATTTCATTTAACCATTTATTTATTTGTTTCTTCACATTTTCTTTTTCTAAATTTATTTTATTTTTAATTTATGGAAATAATAGCTTAGGATTTAGAGCCAGAAGGAAACTTAAACTTCATCTAATCCAGCATCTTCATTTTCTAGATGAAAAGAAGTATCACCCAAGCCACCTCTTCTTTGCAAGAAAGTAGAGAATCTTCCATTCATCCTTTTTGTATCTCTAATGCCTAGAATAATACCTGCCACATAATGGATATTTAATATTGCATATGTTTTTTGAGTTGTTGATAAACATCTTCTCTTCCTGCATATGCCACAAACGCAAGACACATCACTGTCATGGTTGCTTTCTCTGGATTTTTCCAGCCTAAAATGTGGGACCCAGAATGAAGCATGATTTTTTTAACATTGAAAAACGAATATGATACATTTTCTGCCATATAGATGACAGAATTCTATAGTTGTTAGGGACCTCAGTAACCATTTAGTGTAACCTAAACCCAAAAAAAGTTCCTCTACTACCTCTCTGATGAAAGGAGGAACCAACTAACTCCAGGTCACTCAATTTTTGGAGAGCTCTAATTATTGGGAATTTGAAACCTAAATCTGCTTCTTTGTAACCTCCAAGCATTGCTCCTAATTCACCCCTCTGGGGCCAAGCAGAACATGCCTATTCCCTCTACAACTAGCTCTTCATTCGCCTAAAGATAACTATCATGTCCCCTAAAGACTTCTCTTTACCTGAGAGTAGAGAATGTTTCATTCTGGATATTTGTATCCCTAGCATCTAATACAGAACCTGGAACATGGTAAGTGCTTAACATATGCTTATTGATTGATAAACATGTCTAGTTCCTTCAACCAATCCTCAGATGGCATGAACTAAGACATTTCACCATCCTGGTCACCTCCTTGATGTTTTCCAGCCTAGCAATGTCTTTCCTCAAATATGGCGCTGCAAACAGAAGACAACACTCCAGGGGTGGTCTGATGGGACTACCACAGCACCTCCTTATTCCTGGATTCTATGCTCGTCTTAAGGCAAACCTAACATCATGTTAGCTCTTTTGGTGGCCATCACCCTTATTTTAAGTTAGCAATCCAGATTTAGAACCAAGGGTCATATATGAATGCTTCAACTATGGTAGGGAGGTAAGGATAGAAGACATTTTTTTTTCTTACAGAAAATCAATGCTATCATTTCTACATACAAGTACTATTTTGGTATTAAACAATCCTCTTGTTTAGATGATTCTTATGTAAATGTGAGTTTCTCAAGGAATGGCTCTTAGATTGTATTTTCACACCAGTAAAAGAAATACTAGTAACCTTTCTAATGCTATGATACAGAGGATCTGAATTAAAATCTCATCTCTGATGCTTATTGCCTATGTGACCTTGGGTAGATCATTTCACTTATATTCATAATTGTAATCTTTTGTCTGAACTTCAGGGAAGAGATCATTACAACAATTTCAACAAAACATGGAACTGATGTAGCATTGCAGACAGAAATGAGTTGGCTTCAGGATCAGTATGAGAAAAAAATAAGCCGTAAGTGACTGGATTTCTTAGAGTATTCATTCATACCAGTAGATAAAACACCAGTATCCTTTCAATCTTATGGTACAGCGGAAAGGGCAGTGATTTGGGAGTCAAAGGACCCTGGGTTCAAACTCCATTTTTTTATGTTTACTGCCATTGTAACCAGGGATAAGGCACTTAATCTCCCTGGGCCTCAGTTTCTTCATTTGTAAAATATGGTGATGGGTCCATTCCAGCTCTAGCTCTGTCATTCTGTGTGATCCTATGATGTCTCTAAACATAATAGACATAAAGTAGACAGACCTTATATGCTTGAGTGATGCATAAAACCCTTTTTTGCTATTACATTGTTTCTAGACTATCAGGATTTTACCTAAAATCATCAAAGGTCAAGTGGAAGAACTGAGACTATCAGAAAAAGAATAGCGCCTAGTTCTTCATTCTGGAAAAAATAATTTATTTAGCTTTCATTCATCTGAAATGCCATCCAGATTTATTTATTTCCTAAGAAATCAGGCATAAGAAGAAAGTATGCTGATTTCTACAAGAAATCTGACCTGAAAGATTGCTCACTCTCAAAATGGGTTGGGTGGTCTGCCCTGGGAAATGTTGAACAACTAGCTCTCAAAAATAAAAAGTACTCAGGACATGTTTTAAGCTTAATCTTCATTATTAACATTATCTCCATCACTCCCTTAAGTCAAGATAATGAGCAAAACAGTAAATCAAATTGTTATTTATAGCCGTTGCCTGGTTGTAGGTCTCATTGTTGCTTTCCAAAAAGATTACCTCAATAATGGCTCCATAATCAGTATAATGGCATGCCTAGTTTTCCACATTGGCAGCATTTGTTATTCTTAATATAGAAGAATATAATCAGTTTCAAAGAGATCTGACAATGGTGGGCCACCCCCCCCCCCAAGACAATGAGTTCTTTTGTGTAAAGATCCCATGGCTAGAGAAACCCTACTCTTTGGTTTCCTTTTCTCTTGCTAATGAGTATGATCTTTCATTCTAAGTCATTATATGAATTATAGTCTGAAATTCCTTTTAACTCCTATCATATCTCTGGGGTAGGAGACTGTATCCCTTTTAAATCATGCTGGGGACTCCATTAGGAAAACTGCAAACAAGCTGGGTGGAACTAGAGTGAGTATATTCCTTCCCACCCCCACCCCCACCAATGCCTTTGGTTGCCCTACAAACCAACTAAAAAGACTGAAAAAGGGCTGGGCAGTCAGAAGAATTCTGAACTTTTAACCACCATGTGAAAGAATGTTCTAAGTAATTAATAACAAGAGAAGTGAGTATTTAAACAACCTTGAGCTTTCACTGTGCACCTAGAAAATTGGCAACGATAACAAAAGAGGGGAATACCCAATGTGGAGAGGATTATTGAAGTATAGGCACATTGATGCACTGCTGATGGAGCTATGAATTATTCTGCAACTACTCTGGAAAGCAGTTTGGAATTTTACAAAGAAAGTGGTGGAAAAGTTCATATCCTTTGAACCAGAGATTTCACTGCTAGACTTATGTCATAAGGAAGTCAAACAAAAGAAAGGCCTTCACATATGCCAAAAGATAGCAACACTTCTTTTTATAGTATCAAAGAACTAGAAACAAAGTAGATAACCATCAATTAGAGAATGGTGGTTGTATTATATTACAGCAAGTTGTATTATATGAATGTAATGGAATATGATTGGGCTAGAAGAAATAATGAATATGGTAAAGCATGGGAAGACTTATATGAACTGATGTGAAGTGAAGTAAGCGGAACCAAAAAAACTAATATAAATACTATCGCAACGTAAATGGAAAGAACAACAAAACAGCTACAACTGAATGCTGAAAAATTATAATAACCAAGCTTTGCCCCAAAGAAGAGATATGCAAAAGCACCTCTCCCTGCCACTGTGTAGAGCTGAGGGATTATGATTTTGGAATACTGCATATGGTGTCAGACTTTTTTCATACATTCTTTGGTTTTCCCTAGACTGGTTTTTTTTTCCTCCTCTTTTTTATTGTTTACTATAAGGATTACCTCTCTGGGAGGGACTGAGGAAGATATATTGGAAAATGTAGGTAGATATAAAAATGAAAGATATCAATTGAAATTAATTTTAAAGGGCAAGGTAGAGATAAGCTTTGCTCTCCTTACCACTATCAAAGAAATTGCTGCACTTACCACAAAATCATATAATCATAGAATTCTACAGCTGAAAAACTCCTTTGCTGGGTCTTTAGCCAGGTCACACTCACTAATCTTAGGAATTCCAAAATGTTCTCTTCTTGGGCCCTTTTCTCTTCTCCCTCTATACTATTTTGCTTGGTGATCTCATTACCTCCCAGGAATCCAATTATTATCTCTATGATGATGATTCTCAGATCTACTTTTCCACCCCTGGCATCTCTTCTAATCTCTAGACTTGCATCTCCAACGGTCTATTGACCATCTGGAACTAGATGTCCCAGAGACATCTTAAACTCAATATGTCCAAAACTGAACTCATTATCTTTCCCCCCAATCTTTCTCTTCTTTCTAACTTCCCCATTACTGTTGAGGGCACCACCCTCCCCCTAGATAACCAGGGTTGCAACCTAGGTGTCATCCTTGACTCCTCATTCTCTTTCGCCACACCTCCTCATGTCCAATCTCTTGCCATTCTAACTTCATAACATCTCTCTCTCTCTGTCTCTGTCTCGCTCTCTCTCTTTCTCTCTCTCTCTCTCTCTCTCTCTCTCTCTCTCTCTCTCACACACACACACACACACACACACACACACACACCCCCTTTCTTTCCTCTGACCTAGGGTACCATCCTGGTGCTGGCCCACATCTCATCATACCCAGACCATTGCAATAGTTTGCTGGTTGGTCTCCCTACTTCCAGCCTCTCCCTCCCCCATTCCAATCTATCATTCACTTAGCTGTCACATTGATCTTCCTAACATTTGAGTTTGACCAGATAACACCCCACCCCCACTCAATAAACACCATTGGCTCCCTACCACCTTCAGGATAAAATATAAAATCCTCTGTTTGGTTTTTTTAAAGCCCCTCACAACCCAACCCCTTCCTACCTTTCTAGTCTTCTAACACCTTACTCTCCTCCATATACTTCTTTTTTCAAATGAGCTTCATTGCAGTAACACTGGCCTCCTCACTGATCTTCCCATAAGACACTCCACCTCCTGATTCTCAGCACTTTCACTGACTCTGTCTCATTTCCAGAATGCTTTCCCTCTTTCTCTTTCCCTCCTGATCATCTCAGCCTCCTTCACATCCCAGCTAAAATCCTACCTTCTACAAGAAGCCTTTTCTGTTCCCCCTTAACATTAGTGCTGTCCCTCTGAGATTACCACCAGTTTATCCTGGATATAGCTTGTTTGTACATAATTGTTTGTATGTTGTCTTCCCCATTAGACTGTGAGCCTTCTAAGAGCAGACTGGTTTTTTTTTCCTTCTTTTTTTGTATACCTATGTGCACAGTACCTGGTATGTCATTTGCTGTTTTTTAATCACTGGAAGACCCCTCAATAATGGGGATCTCTCTGACTATTAAAGCAGCCCTTTCCATTGGTCAGATCTAATTCCTTCTTATATTTGTTACAACTCCTAGATTCTGGTAATGCTTTTTAATTTGGAGCTAGCTTTTTTCCCCCCTTTTTCCTTTTTCTTAGTAATCTCTGAGCTTTTGCATCTTTTGCCTACTATGTACTTTGTATGCATCCGAGCGCAATTAGGGTTAGGTCCCTAATTAAGCATAGGTCCCACTATGCTTTTGCATCTTTTACCTACTATGTACTCTCTGGCCATGTCTGTCCCTTCCTCCCTGTATGTGTGCAACTGATTTTTTGAAACCAAATGTAGAACTTTGTATTCCTATTCCATATAATAACTCTCTACTTGAAGTCCTGGTCCAGGACTTCATTGTAGCCTGAAAGTGGCTGGGTCCTCAAAGGTGATGTCAGTGGGGAATAAATTTTGTCAGGTGCCACTGAAATGGAAAGGCTTCAATTACTGGCTCCACAAGGGATTGTACATGTGGCTATTGCCTGATGACTAGACTAGTTAAATATGGAGAGGCCCATTGCCAGAGATTTGCCCACCTGGTGATAATTTTTTTGGGGGGGGAAGTGGGGGGAGGTCCCAGCAATTTGTGAAGACTGTGCACTAAATAAACAGTAAAGAGTTGCTATCTGTATCCATAGCAGGAACACCTCCATCAATGAAATTGTGCATTGTTGCTTTACTGAAGTAAGTGCATTTCATTTTATCATATTTAGCCCATCATTCCAAACTTTTTAGATCTTTTTGTATCATTATTCTGGTACATGGTGGGTTAATTATCCCTCCCAGCTTTATTTCACTGGCACCAAAGTAACAATTTTCTAAAAAAAAAAAAAAAAATGTTGAACAGAACAGGACCAAGGACAGAGGCCTACATATTCCACTAGGGATTTCCCTCCAAGTTGAATTTAATTCCTTAATCAGCACCCTTTGGGTTCCTTCATTTAACCTATTCTAAATCTACTTAACTATCATCTGGTCCACATCTCCTCATTTTGTCTACACAGATATTGCTGAAGACTTTGCCAAATGTCTTGCTAAAAGTCAGGCACACTGTGTCTATCAGGTTTCCTGACTTTGGTAGTTTAGTAATCGTGAAAGAAAAAAAGGAAATTAGCTGAAACAAGTGTCTTATCTTTCCACCATGACTATCCAAAGCCTGGAACCTATCTGTGGAAATGCTAGGATGATGGGGAAAAAGAGGCCTCACCATGAATAGCAAGCAACTGACTTAAGCAGCCTGGAGAGGAAAGCTTCTCCTGTGTAGAAATTCATCTGCTTTCACCTGAAGAAGAAGCTCCCTCTTCCAAGGTCCAGTTGTTTCTCATATGTAATTAACTACCATTTATAGGAGACTTTATTATAATGATTGTTTTATCAATGACATCTCTTCATTCTGCCCAATTTATATTCTATTTATATTCTTCACCTTTTCTGAAAGTAGGAGGGTTACCTTTCTCCAATCTTGTAATGCCTCCTTTTAAAAATGTATGCTTTTTAATCTCATCTTCTAGTAAGGGACAAACTGAGTTCAGATGATGGTGGAGGTTCTCAACTGAGCTGGGATGGGGTTCCAGTCAATGAAGGTACTCATTTCCAAAATTGCCCCATATAACTTAACCCCCATTGCCTCACCAAAAAAAAAAGAAAGAAAACCCCATATAGAACCCAATAATTTGTGAGAATCAGTATTTGAGTGAAAAAAGGTGTTACACAGAGTAAAGCTAGGGAGAGGTCTCCTCTTACCAGTTGGGCCTGAGGCAATACACATGACACCTTCTTTTGAAAATCTCTCTGCTAATTAATGCCCCATTCTTACTTTGTCTGGTGTTCAGGTGTAAGTGTTATATCCAATGTCTGGTAAGTGATGTCTATGTGATGTTGTATATACAATCTTTGGATATAAGTGTTTTCTGGCCTCAATGTCTACCCTTGGCAGTTGTCATAGATATTTTGACGCAGACTGACAATACTATAACACACAGCAGGATGTAGCCACAAAGACCCTTTTACTTCGAGTTCTACATTTTAATCTCATTTTCCATTTAATTCAATAACATAAGGTCCAACTGCAATGTGCTATTCCAATTACTTGGCTTCCATTACAATTTTATATTCTATTCTCTGGATCAGTTTATATTTTTACAATTATTTGATTGCAGTTTCCTTTTTTTTCTTTTTTGTTATGTCTTACTGGTAATTTCTTTATTTTTAATTATTTTATTTTTTAAAATTAGTTTTCTTGATGCCTTTTATTTTTATATCACAGTCATTTTCAGATAGATTTCCTCTAGACAAAAGAGCTCCTCCCTCCCCCTCCTTGCAACAAGGAAAAAAAAATAGCTAAAACCAAAGGACACAATGATTACATCTTTACAAGAATATGTATCAAGACTGTGAAGACTAGTTCTATTTCAACTTTATGTTATGTAATCTCAGCTTGGCCCTCACTACACAGAAGGCAATCCTTTTAAACCTCCTATCAACTCAATACCTCACTCTCCATATCAGATTTTTAAAATCATTGCATTCCTCCCCATGCTGTTCAAGATTCCCCCTTGTCAGACCCTCTTAGCAGAGAACCTTGCCTCCTATTTCACTAAAAAAATTGAGGCCATTCTCCAAAACCACCTTCGCTTTCCTCCTCCCCATCTCACATCATCCAGATGTCCTCTGCCACTCTCTCCTCCTTTGCTTCTATCCCATGTGAATAACTGGCCCTTTCTCATTGTCAAAGCAAACCCCTCTACATGACAAAGTGATCCCATTCCATCTGTCTTCCCCAATGGATTGCCTTCTATATCTCACTTATCTTCAATCTCTCCCTCTCTCCTGGTTACTTTTCAACTGACTTCAAACATGCCTATGTCTACTTTATCCTCCCAAAAAACCACATTTGATCCATCCATCCCCCCTAGCTATCACTCCATAGCTCTCATCCTTTTTGTAGCCAAACTTCTGAGAAGACCATCTACAATGGGTGCCTGCTCACTCTCTTCTTCACTCTTGTCTGACTGCTGACCTCATCATTTAACTGCAATTACTCCAAATTTACTAACTATCTCTTAATTGCCAAATCTAATGGCTTTTTTTTAATCTCATTCTTCCTGGCCTCTTTGCAGCCTTGACACTGCCAATCACCCTCTTCTCCTTTACATTCTCTTCTCTGTGTACTTTCCTGACACTGCTTTCTTGTGATTGTTCCCCTACTTATCTGACCAATTCTTCCTAGTCTCCTTTGCTGGATTTTCATCCAGGTCATGCCCTTGAATCCTGGGTGTCTCCCAAAACCTTATCCTGGGCCTCTTCTCTTTTCTCTCTGCCCTAATCTCAGCTCCCATCATTCAATCATCATTTCTATGCTGATGATTCTTAGCCCTACTTATCAAGCCTCTCTCCTGACCTCCTATCTTGAATCTCCAATTGTCCGTTAGATATCTCATATTGGATGTCCTATAGGTGTCTTAAACTCAACATATCATGGTCATTATAATTACTCAGAATTTAGCTTGATTTTATATTGCTTTTCTTTACATGATCATATTCATTGTCCAGGAAACAGATATTAACGTCTACTCTTAGGTACAAGTCTGCTGGAAACAATTTTAATTATTAGTATTATTATAGTATTGTTAATATAGTATTAATTTAACATTAATCGAAATCAAGCACTTTCTAGCTTAGAGAGAGAATTGTCCAAACTATCACAATTCCCCTGTGCCCTAGGACGTTTCTCTGCCTCAAATGAGGCAACATTTATAAGAATTTTGAAGAAAAAAGTCATATTATGTTAACATATAATTTTGGTTTCCAGAACAATAATCCCTAACAATAGTCACTTAAGTATCCACTACAACCAGCCAATTCCTTCCTTGCCCATTCCCCTCATATACATTTTCCCACAAGGAAAAGTCCACAAAGGGCCTGAGGCTGGAGAAAATATCATTTCTTAATATTTTCCATTGTACTAAGAAGGAGGCTTTAAATATACCTTCATATCATTATGTATATGATTTTCCTGGTTCTGCCTTCTTCACTGCATCAGTTCATGTATGTCTTTTCCCCCTGGATCTCTAAATTTCTCATATTCATTATTTCTTATGGCACAACAATATTGTTAATGGTTCACTTTTGTAATGCCCATGGTAACCACCCAGAATTTCAGTTCTCAGTCAATTATTTACTAGTTCATTGTATGCCACAGTTGCAGCAAAGGACAATATATCCCAAAAGAAGATACTGGAAATAATACCAGAGTACCAGAAAAAGACAAGGATTAAAAATTTAAAGAGTGCAGTACAAAAAATAGCAGTAGTTCGTGAGTATTCCTTTTTTTCCCCTTTGGTCTTGAGTTCAGGGAATAAAAGGGATAAACTTAGAAAGGTAACCTGGGGTCAGATGGTGGAGGGTCTTTCAGGAATATCAGGCTAAGGAGTTTGGGTTTTATTTGTTGGTGAGGGAAACGAAAGGATTTGGAGCAGAGGAGTGACATAATCTAAGGAGATGAATCTGGCCAAATAAAAGAATTGTTCAGCAGCAGTGATGGCCCAGCTGAGATCAGGTCATATAGATTTGTCACTGAAGCAGGCAGCCCAGTTAGATGACATTCCATAGCATCTCTTAGCAGTCTGAGAGCAGGATCAGAGAAAACGGACAGTGGGGCTTGTCTGGGGTCTTGTGTTGGCAAGGCAAGTATAATAGGACATCAAGAGAGTAGATCGAGTGGCAAGTGCACCATTGAAATGACTATATTTTATGGGTGGATTGGTTTGTATTTTCCCAGTAACAGTTGTAACATGACAACTGTGCATTTTCCTTCTAGGTTCTTTTGGCTCCTTTAAACCTGGGGATGTATCTCCTACCTCCTATTGCCCATTAACACGAGGTAAATGGACATTAAAAACCCTATCTGCCCCTTGAATGGTCCAATAAAAATGGCATTTGGGAGAAGATCCAGTTCATTTCTCTTTATCCCTACATCTTATGTCAGTCTTAGCTTTATAAAGGATGGGGCTGGACCTGGGATTTCATTGGTACAAGGAACTCCCAGATGAGGAAACTACTGTACCTGTATAGGTTAGGACATGCTCTGCAATTTATGGTCTTAGGAAGTTGCCTGGAACATTGAGAAGGTTGTGACTTGCCCAGGGTCCCACAGTCAGGTCATGTCAAAAGCAAGCTCTGAATGCAAGTCTCTGAGGCTACAAGATAAGCTTTTTATCCATTACATGATGTCTCTCATAGCTTTTGAGGCTGTAGTCTAAATTCTGAAGAATGGTACGCCCTTATAAATAGCTCTTCCTCTACCCCCAAGTACCTGTTGATCAATTCCATCTGTTCACTGTAAAGAGCATGGCCATAACGTGGGCCTTTGGGATACGGCCAAAAAATTTAAAAAGAGAGGGAAATATGATGGGCAGTGTAGTGTTATGGAAGAAATGCCGACTTTGGGTTTCTAATTCCACTTCTATTTCCTTCAATCTCAGTGACTTTGGGCAAGCCACTTCTCCATTCTTTAGTTTCCTAATCTGTAAGATGTAGTTAGACTAGAAGATCCCTGAGGTCTCTTCCTGTTTTGTATGCATGATCCCATGACTTAGCACAATAGACATTTCACAGGTTTATGTTTTCCTTATTAAGTAATGCTCATTGTTCTCCCCTTAGCACAATGGGCGCTACATGAGAAGATGCAGCAATTAGACATTTTGTGTGACATGGAGGTAAAAATTCACAATTATACAACTTGAGACACCATCTGTGCCCAGACCAAAAGTATTTTACGCTCTTTTTTTTCCTTTTAAAGTTTAAAGAAGACTTCAAAATGTTTTTTGAACCATTTCTGGAAACAATCCCAAAGGTTGGGCCACCGGCCATTCTAGCCTATAAACCAGAGCCAACTCCACAAGATATAATTCTCGAGGTAATGTTCGTTTGTCTTCTTAATATCGAAACACATAACCAGGTAACAAGAGAGGCATCTTGGCAGTGTGACTAGCTCTGAGCTGGCCTTTTACAAACTTTGATACATCCTGGCTGTGTGACCCAGGGCAAATCATTTAACTTCTCAGTGCCCAAGGGTCCTCTCCAAGATTGGAAATGACTGAGAAGATACCTTTCTTCAAGAAGAAGGAGCCTTCTCATCTAAAACTTCCAAAGGTAACGCGAGCCCCTCAGTGAGCTAAATGAACTAGCAAGTACAATGGGGTGGGAAAAGGGATCATGATGAAGAGAACAGAATGCTCTATGATGTGGCATGAAACCCAGTTTTTAGTCCCAAATCTGCCATTTGCTTAACTTGAGGACTGTGGGAAAACCATTCAAGTTTGGAAAGCCTCCATTTCTTCCTTTATACAATGAGGAATAGATCCTCTCCAAAGTTCCTTCCAGTTCTAGACCTCTGATGCTGAGAGGTTATACCTTGAGAACAGCACTGGTGGCTTTCCATAAGGAGGCTTCATGGTTAGATCTGGAAGAAAAAAAGAGAGTGAAGCCTACACGTTTTGCTCCTTTAAAAAACATTCTTTGGTGGAGATATTTTATGGATTTGTAGGTTTTTGCATGGGGTCACTTGGCTCAGCTGGTAGGAGGACCTTGCTAAGCAGCTGAATTCCATGGCTTAAGTTGGGGTATCACATGAACTAATGCAAGTGTCATTTCATCCCATGGCCTCAGAGAGCACACTGAAGCCAAGCCAGGGATTAGCAAATATGTGCAGTGGCCCCAGAAACGAGTAATGAAAAGGCTAGAAAAATGAATTCAGAAATAATAGCATTTATGTAGTGCTTTCAAACTAGCAAAGTATTTTAGTATTACTGGAGTTGATTGGATCATCACAGTAATCTTTCAAGGTAGGTGCTCTCATCCCCACTTTATAGAAGAGGAAACTGAGGTTGAAAGGGGGGAAGTGATTTGTTCATGTTCACACAGCTAGCAATTCACAGAATTGGGACCAGAATCCCGGACAAGAATTCTTGTGCCTGGGACAAGCTCAGGTCCCACGGCAACAATCATGCAGAGGATAATCCCATCATGGGCATGCTAGGAAGAAGGATGGCACAGTACCTAGTGCATAAGGGCTTAAGAAATGTTTGTTGACTGACTGTCCCCCAGAGAATCCATCCACTTTCTTCTTGGATATGTGGGAACATCCTTTATTATATTATTTGGGAAACTTATTATTAGACTGTTTAAATCCAACTTTATGTGACTAAAGATTGTTTGCACCAAGAATGTTGTCTTGATCTTGATTTTGATTTCATTTACTCTCTAGGAATGCCAGAAATGGTTACAAGGAATTTTGGATTCCCTCAGGTCCTGGACCCACCCAGAATATTTATATTTTGGGTTACTACACTCAGGTCTTGTGGGTCCACCCAAGCCTGTGTTTTGGGTTCTCCTTGTGTTTTGGCTTTTGCTCAAATTTTATTAAATGTTTACGGTATCTATCGCCATCTACTTAGTTTGTTCTACTGGGCTCCTGAGATTCCTGCAAGTGTACTTGTCAAAATCCTATATAATGCAAATCTTCCAGGGTTGGATAAAAGGAAGCCACCTCTCTCTCTCTCTCTCTCTCTCTCTCTCTCTCTCTCTCTCTCTCTCTCTCTCTCTCTCTCTCAT